AGCAATTAAAAGCTTTTCTAATTAAAAAATGTCTTAGTTTTATTGCATTTTATATTTTACGATATAGAGTAGATTTTCGATAACTGGGTGTCCTGTTTTACAAAAAGAAATTGATGATTTCAATTCTCCAAGGAGTTCTGCTTTTAGCTAATATAAAAATTAACCAGTACAAAATGGAATTTCTTGAAATTTCATAAAATTAAATTAGTGGGGGAATAACAGATTTTCTAAAAAGATTTTCTAAAAAACATTCCTAAAATAATGTCATTCATTTGTGAATAAGTCCTGAAGTTTTCATAAAAAACCGACAATTATTTTTTTTTATAGTATTCGATGTGTTTTTCACCGTAAAAAAACGCTAAAGTTTCCTATATTATTCTTTCCCCCTCTTGACACAAGAAAAATAATTGATTACAACCAAAATTTTGAACGTTCTGAAATAGTTAAATAATATAATTTAATGATAAAAAATCCTGTGGCCTTTTCTCTTAATAATAAAAATGATTTTGACGATATAACTTAGTTTTTATTAAGTTTGGAGCATTTTTTCATTACGGTATGCTAAATTTTTTGCGAATCAGTTGAGGTCCCCCCCCATATATATATATAGACGCAATCATCAGGCCAGGTTTTATATTTACATACGCTCTATATCTGATACTGAGCACTTTATCCCTAGAATAAAGCACACCCTAAAACTATATTTCTATATATATATATATATATATATATATATATATATATATATATATATATAAGTAAAGGCAATCATAATTTAGTTATAATTTATTTCCTGAATATATTTATTTAAATATTCATATGAATATCTGAATATTTAAATAATTATATTAAATATTTAAATAAATATATTCATGAAATACAATATAACCGAAATAGATTTTTAGTGATTTTTCTTTACTTATTATTATACTGCTCTGTTACTTACTTCTCTCTCTCTCTCTCTATATATATATATATATATATATATATATATATATATATATATATATATATATATATATATATATATATATATATATATATATATATATTTCAGCATCAATTTGTCATTTATACACAGTGTGGTTAAATACCAACCGATGTTCCTTGCTAATTATTTTCACATATATTTTTTATTGATTTTCATTGATATTTAAACAAACATGTTTATATATATACATATATACCTATATCTATATCTCTCTATCTATCTATCGATCTATCTATCAATCAATCAATCTATATATATATATATATATAATTCCAAAAATTTCTAAAATAAAAGAAATATATTCACGGGTTAAAGTTCTCAATATCAGGGATATATATTGCGTTGGTGCATAATTATCAGGAGTTATTTGTTAAATTTGCTGTTTTGTTTACGTTTTTTTAATAAAAATGATATTTTATCTTCAGGTTATAAAAATGCATACCGATAATCATACGCCCGGGAAAAATCACTTAAAAAATGTTATTGTTGAATTTATATTTTTTCATAATAAATATTATTTATAAAACGCCTGATAATTATGCACCAACCCAATACGTAATACGTAGGCATATATATATATATATATATATATATATATATATATATATATATATATATATATATATATATATATATATATATATTGCTTTGCGGGGCAGTTTGATCTTCAAAATTTAAATGCAATATAAATCGTTATCTCCTATCTTCCTGATTATTTTTCTTTTGTTCTGGCTCCCGTCATAATGTTTTCTGTTTCTAATTCTTTCATCCAATAACCCCCTGTGTGTCTAAGTGGCTTTACTGACTTGCTTGGTGTAAATTCGATTATATATTATATTATATATATATATATATATATATATATATATATATATATATATATATATATATAATCATTCGAAAATTATATTCGAAAATTATAACATAAATTATATTCGAAAATTATAACATAAATATGTTATAAAATCACTACAAAAATAGCCATTTTGTTTCAACACTTCTGATGTCTTATCAAGTGATGGTGTTCAAATAAAATGGCTATTTTTCATTTTATAACATTTTTATGTTATAATTTTCGAATAAATGATTATAATTGCTATACTCTGTATTGAGCACTCTTTTAAGAATAGTATTTGTTGGTTATTTGAATTTATTCCGTATGCACCAATTCCATACTTATATATATATATATATATATATATATATATATATATATATATATATATATATATATATATTTTGTAGAGATTAAGATCATCAGTACACCAAATGATTGCTTTACGTCAAAACTGCTCCAGTGTCTTCCAAATTTAAAACCTTAGAAATGTGTGTGTGTGTGTGTGTGTGTGTGTGTGTGTGTGTTTCTTTCTTTCGTTTTGGGATCTGATGAAGCCTAGAAGGGCGAAACGCGTAATCAAATCTTGTTTCAATGAAACGGTTTTCCATTTGTCAAATTGTTAAAATTTTGTCGAGATACTGTATCCTGTCTTACACATTCTCTCTCTCTCTCACACACACACACACACACACACACACACACACATATATATATATATATATATATATATATATATATATATATTATGTATACATAGTTCATCCTATCAACTGTAGAATATAATAATAACAATTATTTGTCCCAGGGAAAGATTGATGAATATTTCTGCCATGAACTGAACCATTCATTCATTTCCACGTACGAATACAAGAGGTTCTACATAAAATATATTAAGTAAATATTATAAGTGTGTCATATATAACAATATTTGCCTCAGTTTACAAAATACTGTCCAAATATAGATTTTATTACGTACCTCTAAATTTTCTCTAAGTGATGAGTCTACAGAATGAATAAAATGACCCCCACCCACCGACAATTCCGTTTTGTACCGTTTTTAATGTTTATATTGATCATATTCAGGATCCCTTGAAGAAAATAAATCATAGATTTTTTAAAAACAGCGCACCCTGCTACTGAAAAGCTGCACTGAATCGTAAAATAAAAAACGAACATTAGAACTAAGACATTATTAAACATAAGATGCATCATGGAAACTATTGTCCTCAGTAAAATAACATTTTTAAATGAATAATGAATTATTACACGAACTGCTTTAATTTTTCACAATTTTAATTATAATATTTTATAAAGTTTTAAATCTTTTAAAATTCTGTATTAATCTGTATCGGTTAGGTGATATTGTTATTATGTATAAACTGTATTTAGTAATCATAAATGAAAAGCCTACTATAATTCAGCAATCTCCAGTATTTTAAAAAAGAATTTTGAATTTTTACCTTATTCCGAAATTTGAAAAACTTAATATATATATATATATATATATATATATATATATATATATATATATATTAAGTTTCATATTTACTCGAAAAGTGTACACGTAGTAAAAATAGAAGAAATAACCAAAGTAAAATGTAAAATGCACAGGTTTAAATATAATAGTAAATATATATATATATATATATATATATATATATATAGACATACATGCATATATATATATATATATATATATATATATCTATATATATATATATATTTATATATATATATATATTGCATATTTGTTTTATTCGTGTATATATAATAGAAATAAATATATATATATATGTATAATATATAATATATATATATATATATATATATATATATATATATATATATATATATATATATATTTCAAACGCAAAAAATATGTCGGATTAAGAATTAAAAAAAAAAATATATATATATATATATATATATATATATATATATATATATATATATATATTAGAACAAACCTAAGGAGCGTGGCAAACCGACTTTCTCCGGGTATCGATGTCACTTGTAATTGATATATATATATATATATATATATATATATATATATATATATATATCAATTACTTCACCGGTTAGTGCGTAGTTACATCCCTGTACCACATTTAAGCTTTGTTGTGTAAATCGATATTTATCATGTATATATTTCCTATCATTAGACACATACACACACTCTCACATATACATATACTTACATATATGTTTTGTTAATGAGTATATCTGTAAAAGTTGAAATCCCTTTCTAATTGATTTATACATTCACTTTGCCGACTGATCACTAGAAATGATAAATGATTCTTAGTATTATGTATCGTTGTTAATTAGCTATTTATTAGTAATTACTATAAGTTCCTTGCTAATGATTTTCTCTGTAATTAAAGGTGAGTAGTAATTTAGAACTAACATACACACTTCCAGTCAGATACACAAACTGCATGATTACTATTATTTTAAGAAATAGATTAAATAATGTTTAAAATATATATATATATATATATATATATATATATATGTGTGTGTGTGTGTGTGTGTGTGTGTGTGTGTGTATTTAGATGGATTGATGTGAGTTTGTGATCCTGGGATTCACGCTATTTGTGATCGTTAGACAAGTGACAAAAGGTTAGGGTCACAAACATCAATCCAACTAAATATGTTTGCTCTATCAATGATATTGTGCGCTTTCCAATGAGTACTGCGCATAATATATAAATGATATATATAAAAAAAATGCATGTACACACACACACACACACACACACACACACACACACACACACACACATATATATATATATATAATATAATATATTTATTTAAAAAAATAAATAATTATATTTATGCTCTACATTTGTATCAAGACTATTTTTAAAAAATAATAACTAAAATACTAAGGAACTTTGGATCTACCTAACCAGTTCTTTCCTATTTTCTATATATTTTCACAAAATATATATATAGTATATATAAATATATATACATATATACACATTTTATATATGTATATAAATGTATATATATATATATATATATATATATATATATATATATATATATATATATATATATATATATATATATATATAGCAACATTTTACAACGATGTCTCCCATGTTTGAGTATGTGTGTGTGTGTATTCAATCTGGTAATTATAATCCATGGTAAAAG